GCGAACACACAAACAATTTCCATTCTAGTCGCCACGTGGCAGCGTAGAGGGGCGAAACATAGGCCCATCTACGCCATGAGTCACGTTGCAACGCAAAGGGCTGAGAAATCACTGTTCTACTTGGTTCGTCACGTGGCAGTTCAGGGGGGACGGACAAAGTACGATTCCACTTCGCTCGCCACGTGGCAACGCAGGGGGGGGGACTGAAGCAACACTATCTCTACTTTATTCGTAACGTGGCAGCGTAGGGGGATGAGCAAACCATTCCGTTATGGTCGCCACGGGGCTGCGTAGTGGGACGAAGCAGGTACAACTTTGCGCTACACGTCACGTGGCAACAGAGTGCGGCTTATAGACAGTTCGGTCCTACTCCTATTCGTCGCATGGCAATTCAGGGGAGCGGAAATAATGCGATTCCACTATCAATATCCGTCACGTGGCAACGCTGGAGATGGGGGGGGGTAACCAAATTATTATCCAACTATATTCGGCACGTGGCAACCAAGGAGGGTGAACACCAAGCATTCCCTTGCTTCGTCGCGTGGCAATGCAAAGGGGCAGAGCACATACTATCATACTTCCTTCGTCACGTGGCAGTGCAGGGAGCAGCACAACAAACAACGTTCCACTCTGCTCGTCATGTGGCAACCCAGAGGGGCGAAGCATATTCACATCCGTTGTATACGTCGCATGGCAACGCAGGTGGGGGGAGCTGCTGCGATTCCACCCTGCACACCGCGTGGAATTGCAGATGAGCGAACCACATACATGCCCGCTCTATCCCGCACGTGGCAACGAAGGGGGGACACGCAGTTCTAGACGCTTCGCGTAACCCCACCAGCTATCTACGTACCGCGCCCCGGACGTTGTGCTCGCTCCTTGTCTCTCGCCTTGGAGCCGCGAACCAAAAAGTAACCCCACCAGCCCATCCAGAAACGATGCCGAGAGGAGTTGCATCGATTAGGGAAGTGGGCAGCCCGCAGAGGAAGGGTCCCCCAGTGGAGGCCTCTTGGAGAGTCTTGGGGGCCTCTTGGCGGTCCCGGAGGCCTCTTGAAGCGTCTTGGGTGCCCCAGGGAGCTTCTTGGGGCCTCTTGCCCCCCCCAGAGGCCAAAATGGGGCCAAAATCTTGGTAAAGCCGATGATTTTGGCTTCCTCGCCGAGGCTGTTTTGGATGCCCTGACACCTCGCGACCGGCCCCGTCCAGGTCCAGCGGGGGGGGTAGGGGGAGGGGTCAAGATTCCCTCCCCGCCCGCAAGCCGTCTCGCTCACTCCCACCCGCCCTCCCAACACATACGTAGCACCCGAGTCTGGCCCGAGCCTCAGCATATTCAGCAGTCGTCTTTGGATGGGCAGCTACTGGGGGCCAACCTGCCGCCGCCGCCGCCTCCGCCGCCGCCGCCGCCGCCGCCGCCGTCGCCGCCGCCGCCGCCGCCGCCGCCGTCTCCTCCGCCGCCGCCGCCGCCGCCGCCGCCGCCGCCGCCCCCGCCCCGCTGCCAAATCGCCGCCGCGCCGCCGCCGCCGCCGCCGCCGCTGCCAAATCGCCGCCGCCGCAGCCGCCGCCGCCGCCGCCGCTGCAGCCGCCGCCGCCGCAGCCGCTGCAGCCGCCGCAGCCGCCGCCGCCGCCGCAGCCGCCGCCGCCGCCGCCGCCAAGTGTACTCTGTGGTTTTTTTGACAGGGATGGTGGGGGGAGGCCGCATCGGGTTGGCTGCGCATGCTCCGAATTTGGAGGCCGAGTGTGTCTCGTATGTTTTTTAAAAGGGATGGTGGGGGGGCCCTGATGGTTCTGGCTTGGTTACCAGTCGCCTGGGGGAGGGGGTGTTTACTAATGGGGAACAGTGATCAAGACACCCTCTCCGCACGCAAGCCGTCCAGCTCACCCCCACCCGCCCTCCAACCACATGAGTGGCATCAGAGTCTCGGCATAGCCAGGGGTCGCCAGTGATGGACAGCCACTGGGAACCAAAACGGATGCCAGGTGCGCGACGCCCGCCGCGGGCTCCACATGCGGTTGGCGTGCCATCCTTGTAAAAAGCGTGATGCCCCCTCCCGTCCGCATGGTGCAGATGCTGATGTGGGGGGCGTCAGCATTGTTCTTGGCCTGCGCACAGCAAACATCATCACGCGGGCACCACCGCCGTCCCTGTCAAAAACAATACATGTCATCGCGGGTGGACAGCACACCCACGACGTTGTCGCAACGTGCAGTTTGCATTGTTTTTGACACGGATGGTGGTCCTGCACCAAGCGGATTTACTAAGAGTGTCCCGCCATCCCAGTCAAAAAACAATACAATTTGCTCACATGGCGCCAACGCACTGTCCAGATGTTTTGATGCAGCGTGCACTTCGTACTGTTTTTTGCCATGGATTGTGGAGGGTGTTGGCAGGGTGCGCCCCGCAATGTGCATTTCGTATTGTTTTTTGACAGGGATGGTGGGGGGGGTGCACGCATGGTTCCGGGTTTGCTGCCGCCCAGGTGGGGGAGGGGGTGTTTATCAATAGGGAGCAGTGATAAACCCCTCCCGAAGGGGAAGAGGGGGTAGATGAAGGCAAAACACTTGGATTACTATTATAGTCTGTTCGGCACGTGCTAACGCAGGAGAGGGACAACCTATGACCCCACTCTCCTGGTCACGTGGCAACGCAAAGTATACGAGGCAACGTTGTTATATTCTAGTTTAACACGCGACAATGCAAGATATTGGGCAGTTCCAGTTCGAAAGTGGTTCTGAACATTCATTGCAGGATTAAGTTTTAGTTTCAGGGTTGAAACCGTAAAACGCTTGAAACAGATCTTTCACGCTTCGCAGATCCAATTTTCCATCTCCAGTTGTCGACCTCCACAGATCGACCGTCAGCCACACCAAACCGACTTCCAGCTCCCGGATGTTGACTCCCAGCGTCCACTACTAGCTATCGACATCCAACCTTCACCTGCAGCTTCCGACCTCCACCTATCGACCTTCAACCCCGCCTGACCAACCTCCAGCTTCGACCCTCTGACCCCGAGCGCCACCACGAGCCATCGACTTCCACTCTTTGACCTCCAACTTCCAACCTCCACCTATCGACCTTCAACCTTACCTAATCGACCTCCAGCTCCCAGGTTTTGACTCCCAGCGCCCACTACCATCTATCGACTTCCAACCTTCACCTCCAGCTTTTGACCTCCATCCACCGGTCTCCAAACCCACCTGACCGACCTACAGCTCCTACTTTTGGACTCCCAGCGCGTGGGGGTGAGGGAAGGATGAGGAGGAGGAAGACGAGGAGGAGGAGGAAGAGGAGGATGAGGAGGAGGAGGAGAAAGAGGAGGAGGAGGAGGACGACGACCACGACTACGAGGAAGAGGAGGAAAAGGAACACGAAGACGATGAGGGCAAGGACGAGGACGAGGAGGAGGAGGAGGACAACGAGACGAAGACAGAGACCTCAACATCGCCTCTTGGAGTCTTCGTGGGGTTCTTTTGGCGGATATTGGGGTCCTCTTGGAGCTTTTCTAGGGGGTCTTTGGGCCCTCTTGCGGCCCTCTTAGGGCTCTTTTGGGGGCATGTTGGGAGCCCTGGAGGGCCTCTTGGGGCTATTGTGGAGGGCGTCGGTGAAACGAGGTGTGGGGGGGTCGTAAAGTTCGGTGCCCCCTCGGGACCATCATCATTGTCCTCTTGGAAGAGGCCTCTAGAGTTGGATCAGCCGGCCAGGAAGCAAAACACACAACAAGTGTGTGTGTGTGTGTGTTGTGCCCTGGACACAGCTCCGCCATACGCGTTTTGCAGTGACCGCTGTGCTGTCCGCAGGTGCGGAGCGCCATCTGGTTGCAGTCAGGAAGTGCCTCTTCTCGTTTTGGTCAGCCCGTCAGCGAACCGTTTCCGACAACAAATAAGGAAAACGTGTCCCCCCTTTGTGTGCGCAATTTGCGCTTCCGTAGCCAGGCTTTTGGGGCGACCGCGCTGATCGACCCACAGCGTTGTGACCAAACAGTTTTATGCAGCCGCTTCTTATGCGGGTCGGAGCTGGCGTCCTCCTCCCCGCTGCCTCCGCGTTCCGTCCGCGGTTTCTTCGACCCCTCCTCCCGTCTTCCTTCCGCCCTCCGTGCCCCAGTTCCGTCATCGGTCGTCGGCCGTCCGTCTTCTTTCGCCCCCCTTTTTCATCTCCTCCCCCCGCCTCTGCTCATAGCCTTTGCACAGTGTCCAGACTCGCTAGATTCCAGAGGCGACGGTGGTCTTAGCTAAGCTTGGTCGTTGTCAGCAGTGGTGGTTGTTCGTTCGTTCCCCTCCCTCCTGCATCCTCTCTCCCACCGTCTGCGCGTCTCCGTCTTCTTCGTGTTCTTATCTCTTCTTATCCCTGCTTTTCTTCCCTACCACCTTATCCCCCTTATCTTCCTAATATCCTTCCCTCTCGTCCTCCTTGTCCTTCCCCGCCTCTTCCCCGTACTTCTCAACCGCCACGTCCACTCCACGTATGCGTATACCTCCTCTTCCCGCGTATTTTCCGTTTCCCCCGTTTCCTCCCTTTTCATCGTTTTTTGTGTGACGAAAGGGAGGGGATTTCTTTGGCCGACAGGATTCGCGCGATCACTTGCCAACCTCATCGCTCGCTTAGGTGGACAGTTTTTCCGGCATCGTCGGAAGCCTTGTCCCCATGTCTCGACGCGGCTCGGAAACATGCTGCCAATGGTGCACGGGTGGGGCGCGACTCGGGAGTTTAGTCAAGATTGTGCCCATGAGGGATCCAGAGGCGCATATGAGCCAAGCCTGGCCAGCAGAAATCATACCGAGTCCAGGCTCGATTGAGTCAGGCGAGCAGACGGATAAGATGTTCGATCTTGGAATTCTCTTGGGGCCCACCTAACGGATTTGGCCGACTCTAGTTCGACTCTAGGTCGGCTCAGGTCAACGGACGCTCGACGCAGCATCGACGCATGAGTGGATCGAGTGGCTTCAGAGAAAAGATCTGAAAAGTTTCCTATACAGAGCATCTCACACTGGGAACACGCGGGACCGTGTTCAGCCATATTGGCTTGAGGGGGTCCGCGCGGCCCCAGGGGGCGGAGGGCGCCCTGGTGTCGAAGCGGCAGCCGCCGAGGGCCTCGGGCATGAACCTGCGCTTTCCAGGCGCCCGCCGCGCTGATGGCAGCGGAGCCGGCAGCCACGCCTGCCGCGGAGCTGCCCTGCTCCGCCATGCCGTGCTGGCCGCTGATGCAGCTGGGAGGCTCGCGGCCATCTTCGCCGCCCGGCGCGCGCGCCGGGCGCGGAGCAGTGGCGGAGGTGGTGCTGGCCGAGCGGGCGGAGGCTCGAGGAAGGAAACACAGCATGACCATACGCTTGCGGAGCTCCGAGAGCGTATGCTTACGCGGTTTTTCCTTTTCCACAGGCGGGGTCGGCGGTGCTGAAGGTCCAGGCGCTCAGCGGCAGCGCAGTCTCAGGCAGCCTGCTGCCCGGCGACGTGCTGGTGCTGGGCCGCGGCGCCGTGGCCGAGAGGGCCAGCGTGCTGAGCGTCCGCGCCCGGGGCACCGTGCACCTGGACGGAGGCCTCGCGAGTAGCCACCCTGCCGGGGAGCCCGTGGCGAGCCTGGGGCTGCTGGAGCTGCAGGACGGCCTCCTGCTGCTGCCGGGGAGGGGTGGCGGCTCAAATCACGCCCACGGGCCCTGGGACGCGCCGGCGCTCCTGCAGGGGCAGCTGCGGGAGGCGGAGGGCCTGCTGGCCATCCGCGACATGGAGCTCCTCAGCCTGCAGCGGCGGCTCGCGGCGGCGCCGGCCGAGCTGCCTGCCAGCTTGGCAGTCTCGCCAGCACCGCTGCCCGTGGCGACGCACGCGCCCGACTGGGCCGCGCGAGCAGCACAGCTGGAGGAGGAGGCGGAGCAGAAGCGGAGCCAGCTCGCCGAGCTCAGGCGTGAGGAGCTGCGGCTCGAGGGGGAGCTCCGCGACCGCCTGTGGGAGGGAGCGGGCGCGCTGCAGGACATGCTCGAGGCGGCGCGGATCGTCGGTGGGACGCTGCGGAGCGCCGTGTCGAGCGCTTCTGCGGCGACGGCTGCGGTTGGAGGCTCAGGGCTCTCGCGTCCGTCTCCCGGTGGCGAGGGCGTGCTCGAGGCGGCGCGGCTCGGTGGCGAGGTGCAGCAGGGCGCCGTGATGAGCGCCGCTGCGGCGGGTGGCCCTGGGCCCTGGCCTCCAGAGGGCGGCGGCGGCCTGCTCGAGGCAGCGCAGGTTGCCTTTGGGGCACTGCGGGGCGGGGTGCCGAGCGCCCATGCGGCGGCCGCTGCCTCCTGCGGCGACCCCAGCCCGGCCGCCAGCACGGGCGAAGGGCCGTCCACGGCCGGGTCTTTTGGCGGTCCATGGCCGTGGCCAGCAGCAGAGCAGCAGCCGGCAGCTCCCGGGCTGCAGGAGCCGCCGCCTGGCCCGGCCGGCGGCGTTCCAGAGCCCGAGTCGTGGCCGCGGTTTGGCGGGGAGCTTGAGCAGCCCAGGCCATCGCCAGGGGTATCGGCATTGTCAGCGGCGCTCGCTGCACCACCGAGTGCCCGACCGCTGTTGCAGGACTCACGCCAGGCGCCTGCGACGTTTCCACAGCCGCGGCCTGCCGCGATTGCGGGAGAGAAGGCAAGTGGCGGCGATGTGTCCGCAGCACCAGCGTGGCCAAGCAACGGTACTAGTGGCGGTCCAAGCATTGGCCAGCTCCCTCCTGTGTCCCTAGTTCCTGCTGGCGGAGTGTCTGCAGAGATGGTCGTGCCAAACGCCAGGATGGTCAGCTCGAGTGTGCAGGGCACTGACGCGTCCGAGGCACCCGCGTCGCCTCCGCTGCCGATACCCGTCGCGGTTGCAGCAAAGATGGCCTCTGGTAGAGATGTTGTTGCGGCACCAGCGTGGCCGAGCAGCGTCTCCAAGGGCGGGCCAAGCAATGGCCACGTCCCCATTCTGCCTCCAATTGCTGCCGGTGGGATCTCACAGCACACGGTTGAGCCAATCCCGGAGATGACCAACACGGAGGTGCAGGGCACGGACGCGTCCGCGGCACCCGCTACGCTTCCTTTGCCTCAGCCTGTCGCGGTTGCAGCGGAGACTGCTTTTGGCAGCGGTGTGGTTGCAGCACCAGCGTGGCCAAGCCATGGCCATGATCAATCCACGGGCGTGCGGGCGCACAGGATCTACCGGGTCGGCTTGAGGAAGGTGGACTGGAGCCTTGCCGACACCAGCCGCTGGCACTTCAGGCGTATGGAGCTGGGAGCCCCGCCAGCCTCTGCGAACGGCGACCTCGCGCGCAGAGTAGTCGGCCCCATCTCGGAGGGGCTCGAAAAGTTCCGGTCGATGCCCTGGAGATTCCAGTGCATCGTCTTCGAGTCCGACGCGAGCCTCCTGCCAGCGCACCAGCAGTCCTACACCCTCCTCGAGCGCCGCGGCGCCGCCGGCCCGCCCTCCGTGGTCGACGTGCCGGGAGGGCGCCTCTCGCTGATCTGCGCCCTGTACGCGGCGCTGAGCCCAGAGCCCGCGCTGCTGCCCGACGGCCACACCGACCGCCTGTGCCGCCAGGGCTTCCGGGGGGAGGTGCTGGGCGCGATGCGGCCGGGGAGGGGCGAGGGCTGCGCGGACGTGCCGAGCATCGGCGTCGCGAGGGCCGTGAATCCCAGCGCGGTGGCCTGTGGGGCCGTGGGCGACCTGTGGCTGCTGTCCGGGCTCGCGGCCCTGGCCTCGTTCTCGGGCGCCGTGAGGCGGCTCTTCCGCGGCACCCCTGACCTGGACGACCTGCCCCGGCAGGGTTCGAATCACTACACGGTCTCGCTCTACGACCTGTCGACGTGGCAGCCCGTGGAAATCGTGGTCGACGAGCGCGTGTGCTGCAGAGGGGACGGCAGCTTGCTTGGGTGCCCGCCAGGGTCGACCGGTGACCTTTGGGCGTGCTACGTGGAGAAGGCCGTGGCCTGCCATTGCGGTGGCTGGGACCAGATTGACCGTGCGGGTCACTGCACCCACGCCTGGTGCCTCCTCACAGGCTGCCGCGATCAGCGCGTCTTTGTGAGCGACCAGGGGGGGCACTTCACGAGCTGGAGCGCACTGCACCCCGAGTCCATCTCGCTCGCGACAAACGCCCCACAAGGGTTTGGAACGGACTGGCTGTGGCGGGCTCCATGGCCAGTGGTGGGCGGCGGGGGCGACTCGAGCCTGGAGCTGGGCCCAGACGAGATGTTCGAGAGGATGCGCGCGTGGGAGGACGCGAATTACATCGTCGCCTGCAGCGCCGAGGCGACGCGGGCGCTTCCGGAGGACCGTCCCACCGCTGAGTCCGTGCTCCTGCTGGCTGCGTCCGACGCAGCGCTGGCACGGCCCGGGCCAGCGTGCTCAGTGCTGGCATGCGTCAGTAACAGTGGAGGTACTGGCGTCGACTTGGTGCAGGTCCGCGACCCCTGGGGCGTGGTCGTTGCTGCGCGTCGGCGTCGCTCCAACGAGGCCAGCGCCGACGGCGCCTGCCAAAGCGGCGCAGAGGCAGACGACGGAGTGTTTTGGTTGGAGAAGGAGGATTTCTTCGAGATCTTCACGACCATCTACTTGTGCGTCGAGAACATGGCAGAGTTCGTCGGTGAGGGACTTTCTGCCGAGCCGACCCCTCAGCCAAAAGCTCCGCAGTGTGGACCTTCGCCAGGGCTGGTGTCGTCGCCTTGGACAGAGCAGGCGCAGGAGGCCCCCGTCGGTCCCGCCGCTCCGGCTCGGGCGCACTCCACGGCGGCCGCGGAGCCGGCCGCGGCCGACCCGTTGTCGTGGAGCCTGGCGTCGCAGGAGGCCCCCGTCGGTCCCGCCGCTCCGGCTCGGGCGCACTCCACGGCGGCCGCGGAGCCGGCCGCGGCCGACCCGTTGTCGTGGAGCCTGGCGTCGCAGGAGGCCCCCGTCGGTCCCGCCGCTCCGGCTCGGGCGCACTCCACGGCGGCCGCGGGGCCGGCCGCGGCCGACCCGTTGTCGTGGAGCCTGGCGTCGCAGGAGGCCCCCGTCGGTCCTGCCGCTCCGGCTCCGGCGCACTCCACGGCGGCCGCGGGGCCGGCCGCGGCCGACCCGTTGTCGTGGAACTCGGCGCTGCAGGACGCTCAGGGAAGGGACACATTCGGAAAGGCCGGGCAGGAGGAGGCAGCTTGAGGAAAGAGCGTGAAGCGAGCGCTAGGCAGATGCGGAGGCGGGAGTAGTGCGAGGACGAGGGGAAGAAGGATCAGGAGCAAGAGGATGGTGGATGAGGAGGATCGGGGATGAGGATGATATGCGGCTGATGGTGGTGGTTATGGTGGTGATGATGATGATGGTGGTGGTGGTGATGATGATGCTGACGACGACGACGATGATGACGATGATGATGATGATGATGATGATGATGATGATGATGATGATGATGATGATGATGATGATGATGATGATGATGATGATGATGATGATGATGATGATGATGATGATGATGATGATGATGATGATGATGATGATGATGATGATGATGATGATGATGATGATGATGATGATGATGATGATGATGATGGTGGAGGTGGTGGTGATGATGATGATGATGGTGGTGGTGGTGATGATGATGCTGACGACGATGATTACGACGATGATGATGATGATGATGATGATGATGATGATGATGATGATGATGATGATGATGATGATGATGATGATGATGATGATCATGATGATGCTGATGATGATGATGGTGGTGGTGGTGATGATGATGCTGCTGGTGATGGTGATGATAATGATGCTGACGAGGACGATGGCTACGACGACGATAATGATGCTGATGCTGATGATGATCATGATGATGACGATCATGCTGCTGCTGATGATGGTGATGGTGATGGTGGTGATGATGATGATGATGATGATGATGATGATGATGATGATGATGATGATGACGGCGACGACGACGGCGATGATGATGATGATGGTGGTGACGATGATGATGATGATGATGATGATGATGATGATGATGATGATGATGATTATGATGATGATGATGGTGATGGTCATGGTGATGGTGATGGTGATGATGATAATGGTGATGTCAATGATATGTAATGACGACAGTAATGGTGGTGATGCTGATGATGATGATGATGATGATGATGATGATGATGATGATGATGATGATCCCGACAATGATGATGACGATGATGATGGTGATGGTGATGACGATGATGATGATGATGATGATTATGATGATGATGATGATGATGATGATGATGATGATGATGATGATGATGATGATGATCCCGACAATGATGATGACGATGATCTTGACGATGATTATTACGATGGTCATGATGACGACGATGATGATGACGATGAAGATGCAGTTAGCGACGATTCGGCTGATGATCTTGATGGTGTTGGCGAGGAGTATAATGTTGTGGTGACGACGGCTATGATGAGGGTGGTGGTGATGATGATGATGATGATGAGGATGAGGATGAGGATGATGATTAGTATGATGAGGATGAACGTGACGGAACTGATAGTGACAGTGATGGCGCTTATGATGGTGTGGTGGTGATGGTGATGTTGGTGATGGTGTCAATCGAAGACGCCTGCGGCGAATCACCACCGCCCCCGGCCTTCTGGAGACGCCCATGCGGCCAAACGTTTGGCCCAAGCCTGGCGACCCTACTGGAGAATGTGCTCCCCCCAGCCGTTGTGGAACCCTTTGGGGGGACACTGTTGGAGAGGAAGACAGGCGAAGGAGAGGGATGATCAGGCGATCGCAAACATGGATCAAGGGGGCGTGGATTAGTGACGGGTCCCGTTTGCACGGGAAATCGTAGACATCCGGCGCCAAACGAGCCGGCACTGGCCGCATTTTGGGGAGGGCACTTCCCCCGATCCATGGATTTGGCGACCGCGCGCCAAATCCATGGATCGCTAATCCATGTTTGCGCTCCCCCGAGAGGAGAAGGTTGAGGAGGACCAGCGTGAATCCAAGCTACACCTGCGATGGGGCAATACATCCTTTCCATCGGTCCCTGCAGGAATTCATGTTCATTGCGGAAAGTGCCCCCTTCGAAGACAACTTTTTGAGAATCTTCAATCGTGGCAAAAGCAATTCCTCGGACTTCAACGCCACGGGTCCACGTGACCTTTCCGTCTTCATATTCATAAACTGTGCCAGAACAGCATTCCAGCCACACGAATGGATCCTTGGAGCCGCTGCAGATTTTTAAGACGAGTGTGCGCGGCGCTAAGGCGAGAGCCACAGTTTGAAAAGGGATCTCCCTCCCTCAGTGAAACTGCTGCAACCCTTTACGGCGAATGGTAGAGGCGCTAAGGCGCGAGCCACACTTTGACAAGGGACCGCCCTTCATCTTTGAGATTGCTGTTCATCTTTGAGACGAGCGTGCGCGGTGCCAAGGCAAGGGCCACAGACTGAGCGCCAACCACCCTCGATTTCTGAAACGTCTGTAAGATGTTGAGATGATGTGCTCGGCGCTAAGGCGAGAGCCACATGGTGAAAACCAGCCGCCCTCCATCCTTGAAGCTGTTGCGAATTTTAAGCTTCAGGGTGATACATGGTGAGGACGTCTCAGGCTGAACAACTGGCCCGCCTGGCCGACACGCTTGAGGCTGCGACAGGGAGCAGCTGTTTGTAAAGAACGGGGTGGAGGAGGAGGTGAAGGTGGGCGAAGACGAGGCTTCTTGAGGCCCTCTTGGGCCTCCCAGCGTGCCGGAAGCTTCTTGGGGGATGTCGGGGAGGGGGGAGGTGGGGGGGCGTCGACACCGAAGAGGGGCGTCGACACCTGGAAATCGCTCTACCCAGGGTCTGGCCACCGCCCGCCGCTCTCTTCTGGGCCCCCTCGTCGCGCGTGGCCGCACCCGTGAGGGCTCGGGTTGAACGTGTTGTTCGCCTCGTTGTGGGTCTTGGGCCTCGGAAGGTCAATCGGGGCAACACCATGGACCCGATAGCGCTTCGATTATTTTGGAGGCGTTCCGTTTGGTCCCGACGACAAGATGAAACGTTTGGTCGAACCCATGCGTATTGATTTTGAGATCAGCTCGAGATCTGATCGCTACAAACCTTGTTTTTGATTCTCCCGCTGCTCCTGCTGCTCTCCTCTCGCTTCCCTCTTGCTTCAGGTCCGTGGCCCTCGACCCGATTGCCTCTCGACTCCTGTCTAAGCGCGTGGGTCGCTGTCGCTCACGCAGGACACAGACGCGCGAGCCTACGTCAGCAAGCTGGAGGCCAGCCTGCAGTCGCGCATCCACCGCTCCGAGAGCCTGGTGGGACCCGCTGCCGCGCCCCCGAAGCTGGCACAGGCAGAGGCTTGCTGGGGGAGGGCGCCCAGGAACGCCAGGGGAGGTGCAAAAGGAAGCAGGGAGGAGGGGCGCTGGAATGCCAGACGAGGGGGCAGAACACCTAGCGAGCAGAAGAGCGCGGAGGAGGAGGAGGAGGAGGAGGAGGAGAAGGAAGAGGACACGGATGACACGGACGGAGAGCAGGAGGAAGGTAATTTAATGAACATTTCGGGCAGCAGAAACACGAGAAGCCAGCATCAAAATGCAAGGATCAGGCCCGAACCCAACAAGCAGGAAGGGTGGGGTGGTATCTCAGTGCGCTCCCACGCCAATCTGTCCCACACGCGGCGCAAGTCCAAAGCCAAGGCGGGCTCCAGGACATTGATAGACCTGTGCTTGACGCAGGAAGTGTCCGGTTCGGGCCGGTTCGGCGGCGGACCGGTTCGGTTGCAGCGGTTCGATTTCGGCGCCGGTCCGGTTTTGGTCGGTCTGGTTTTGCCAGTCCGGGTCGGTTATGCCGGTTCGGTTCGGCGGTCGCGGGACGGTCCGGTTTTGGCGGGGCCTCGCCTCCCCCCCCCGCGCCCTGCTGCACCCCCGAGGGGGGTGCCGGCACCGGGGGGGGGTTTGGCACCGGGGGGGGGGGTGCCGGCACCGGCCGGCACGGGGGTTGCCGTGGGGGGGGGGTGCCGGCACCGGGGGGGGGGGTGCCGGCACCCCGGCAGGGGGGGGGGGTGGGCACGGCGGGGTGCCGCACCGGGGGGGGTGGTGCCGGCACCGGGGGGGGGGTGCCGGCACCGGGGGGGGGGGTGCCGGCACCGGGGGGGGGGGGTGCCGGCACCGGGGGGGGGGGGCCGGCACCGGGGCTCTTCTGGGGGCTTTCTTGGGCCGGTGGGGAGTCCCGGGGCCCGGTTCGGTTCCACCCGGTTCGGGCTTGCCGTTCGGGCCGGTTTCGACCGGCCGGTTCGGTTCGAACCGCCCGGTCCGGTTTCAGCCGGTCCGGTTCGGGCTCCGGTTCGGGCGGCTCGGTTGCAGGAGCCGCCGGTTCACGGTTACCAGTTCGGTTCGGATTCTTCTTGTATTGACGAGGAGGAGGAGGAGGAGGAGGAGGAGGAGGAGGAGGAGGAGGAGGAGGAGGAGGAGGAGGAGGACCAGTATACAGCCAAGACGCATCAACGATGTTGCAATCTACCCTCCCTCCAAATAACCTCGTCATAGGTCCCTAAAAGATTTTCTCGTTGCGGGAATTGGCCCACGGTAAGACGACTGCCTAAGAATTCTCAGTCGTACCAATACACCAGTCTTGGGACTTCAACAGCTAGGATCAACGTACATGTTGCGTCTTGACCATCCTAAAGCGTGCGAGAACATCATTGCTGGGACTTCAACCATGCGAAACAGTTGCAAGCTTTGAAGACGAGAGTGCGCGGTGCTAACGCGAGAGCAGCATTTTGAAAAAGGAGCCGTCCTCATCTTTGAAACTGGTGCAAACGTTTGAAGGGAATGTGCGCGGTGCTACGGCGAGAGCCACACATTGAAAACCACCCGCCTTCCATCCGTGAAACTGTTGCAAACTGTTGGGGCGAATGTGCGCGGCGCCATACCCTAGGCCTACCCTAGGGCCTACCCTGAGGCTTACTCTAGGCCTACCCCTAGGTCTACCTTAGGCCTACCCCTAGGGCCTACCCCCAGGCTTACCCTCGGTCTGCCCTAGGGCTTACCCCTCCGTTTATCCTAGGCCTACCCCTAGGGCTTACCCCATGCCTACCCCTAGGCCTACCCTACGTCTACTCTATGGCTTGCCCCTAGGCCTACCCTGGGGCCTATCCTAGGGCTGCCGAAGGCCTTGCCCCTAGGGCTACCTCTAGGCCCTACCGTTGCTCTACCCTAGGCCCTTGGGTAGGCCTTACCGTTGCCCTACCCTAGGCCTTTGGGCAGGCCTTACCTTCGACCTACCCTAGGCCCTTGGATAGGCCCCACCCTCGCCCTGCCCTAGTCCCTTGGGTAGGGCCTACCCCAGACTACCCTAGGCCCTTGGGTATGGCCTAGGGTAGCCTTCCGCCCAGGTGATCTATTTCGGAGGAGGAGGAGTGATGGTGATGCTGATGATGCTGCTGATGATGCTGCTGATGATGCTGATGATGGTGATGGTGATGATGATGATGGTGGTAATGATGATGATGATGATGATGATGATGATGATGATGATGATGATGATGATGCTGATGATGATGATGATGATGATGATGATGATGCTGCTGATGATGATGATGATGAGGATGATGATGATGGTTGGTGGTGGTGGTGGTCGTGGAAGTGATGGTGGTGGTGGTGATGATGATGATGAGGATAGTGATAATGTTGATGATGCTGATGATGATACTGATGTGATTGATGATGATGATGATGATGCTGATGCTGATGCTGATGCTGATGCTTGCTGATTGCTGCTGATGATGATGATGGACTGTGATGATGATGATGGGGTGATGTGATGATGCTGGTGATGATGATGATGATGCTGCTGCTGATGCTGATGCTGATGCTTGCTGTTGCTTGCTGCTGCTTATGATGATGATGATGATGCTGCTGATGATTGATGATGATTGATGATGATGATGATGTTGATGATGATGATGATGCTGATGATGCTGATGATGCTGATGATGCTGCTGCTGCTGATGATGATGATGATGATGATGATGATGATGATGGTGGTGGTGGTGGTGGTGGTGGTGGTGGTGATGATGATGATGATTGATGATGATGATTTGATGATTATGATGATGGATGATGATGATGATGATGATGATGATGATGATGATGATGATGATGATGATGATGATGATGATGATGATGATGATGATGTGATGATGATGATGAATGATGATGATGGATGAGGGAGGAGGAGGAGGAGGATGAGGGAGGAGGGAGGTGAGGAGGAGGAGGAGGGGAGGAGGATAAGGAGGAGGAGGAGGAGGATAAGGAGGATTGGGAGAGTTGGAGGAGGAGGAGGAGGAGGAGGAGGAGGAGGACAAGGCGCCCGCGCCCCTGGCGGCATGGGGCGCCCCGGCGGTGGCGGTCGCGAGGCCCGTGGCACCCGCTGCCTCGCCACCGCTGCGCGCGGGTGCCGTGGCCGTCGGCACGGCGGTGGCGGCCGCCGGCCCCTGGCGCCCGGCGCCGGCCCTCGTGCGGAGAAGCCACCCGCCCCTGATCCTCCTCCTCCCTCCTTCCTCTCCTCCTCCTCTCCTCTCCTCCTCCTCTCCCTCCTCTCTTGCTCCTACTCCTGCTCCTCCTCCCCCTCCTCTTCCTCCTCTTCCTCCTCTTCCTCCTCCTCCTCCTCCTCCTCGTTGTTTCGGCTGTTTTCAGCCTCCGGAGGTCGGACGGGATTGGGACGAGGATAAATCCCTTCCAGAGCGTTCCGGAACGCTCTCAGGGCGCTCCAGAACGTTCTAAGAAGACCGTGCCGCCAGAGACATCCTTTGGAGCCGCTGGATCTCAGAGATTCTCGATTTATCTTCACCCGATGTTATCGTCGTCCTGGCTTCGTTTTAGGGGGCCCTCGCCAGGCCGCGGGACCGTCAACAATCGGCCTGGGATGAAACACCAGTGCCAGGGAAAGGGTCCAGACCTCTGGGGGTTAATGCCGTGGAGAAATCACGACGTCGGAGATCTGGGAAGCAACGGAGACAGGCACGAGCATGTGGTCTTTTTTTATTCGTTGTTTTGCCGATCGGCGCCGTCCCTGGCCCCCCCCCTCCCCCCCCCAGGAGTAGATCCTGGCTGTTCTTGGCGCCTGTTTCGAGCAGGTGGAGCCTGCCCCATAATGGACGCACTGCTGCAAGCAGTCGCACCAAGCAGAGGTCCGGATCCAGACCCCCCCCTTCCCCCCTCCCCTTCCTTCCAATGGCGATGCGCCGCATAGAAAAGGCTCACCATGCCACGTGTGCGAGGGTGTAGAGTACCTGGTAGGGTGCGGGTGGGCCTCTGTGCTCTTCGGGCTCGGGCCTTCCCTCCCGGCTTCCTATTCGTCTGTGGCATCCCCACGGGGCCCGTGCTCGTGCTCTTGACTGAAATCGGGCCTGTCTCTCTACAGGAGAAAAAATTATTCAGAAGTAGTCAAAAAATAGTCTGGGGACGCGTCTGCGACACTTATTCCACTATTCCTGAGCATCTTTGGATGATTCTGCATGGTTCGACCACTGCAGGGGGACATGCCCGACCTAACTCTTGACCCCACGTTCTTGTGGCGCCATGTTCCAGCTGCAAACGTCCAGAGGTCCGTGCGGATCTCTTGGCTCGTCGCTGGGCCCCACCCTTGCGGCGCCTACCGGCACCGCCTCTGGCGCGCTTCGCGCGCCAGAGGAGAGGGATCCACCGTCGGCCCAATGAATGCGTGCTGACCTCCGAAATAGGGCGACGAGAGTTATTTATCTGTGAGGGCTTCGCCCTGCTGGCCGCCTCTCTATCAGAACGGGGTATATCAGAGTCGCGTCGGTGCGTCTCGGCGCTGCCTTGGCGCATCAGGGAACATCTTGCGGGGGCGGATAGGAATCATCAGCGCAGATTGAGACGTTGGCGTTATCGAAGACGCCTGCGGCGAATCACCGCCCCGTGCCTTTTTGGAAGCGCCTATGTGGCCGAACGTTGAGGCTAGACCTGCCAAGCTATCGGACCATGTGTTCCCCGAATCGGTTTGGAAAGCCTTCGGGGAACACGTTGGCATCTTGAAGGTCATCTTGGCCGTCTGGAGGCCATTTTGACCCTTTCGGGCCTTCTTGGAGGACGTCTTGTTGTTGGGCCGTCTTGGAGCCCTCTTGGAGGTCATCTTGAGCGTCTTGGAGGCTTCTTGGGCCGTCTTGGGGGCCTCTTGGGGCCGTCTTGGGCCTCTTGTCTTGGGCGATCTTTGGGGGCACTTGGGCCTTCTCGGGTCGTCGGAAGGCCGAACAAAAAGCAAATGCCACAATCCTTCAAAAACTCATGGGAAATCAATGACTTGGGCCTTTCGGTCCTTCCTGGAGGCTCTCTTGGAAGCCTCTTGGGCCGTCTTGGGCCAGTTTCGAGCCAACTTCGGCCATCTTGGTGGGCTCCCGGCCCATCTGACGCCGTCGGAAGCCGTTTGGGGGGCCTCTCTGGGCCGACTTGGGGCCCTCTTGGGGTGCTCCAGGGCCGTCTTGGAGGCCATCTTGGCATCTTGGGCGTCTTGGAGGCCTCTTGTGTCGTCTTTGTGCCCTCTTGGGGCCCTCTTGGGGGCCTTTTGAGCCGTTCTGGGGCCATCTTGGAGGCCTCTTGGGCGATCTTTGGGCGATCTTGGGGGGCTCTTGGGCCGTATCGGGCCTTCGGATGGCCGAAAAGAAGCAAATGTCCAAATCCTTAAAAACCAAAGGAACATCAATGTTTTTGGCCTTTTCTAGCCTTCCTGGAGGCCCTCTTGGAGTGGAGGCCTCTTGGGCCGTCTTGGGCCAGTTTCGAGCCAACTTCGGCCATCTTGGTGGGCTCCTGGCCCGTCTGACGCAGTCTGACGCCGTTTGGGGGGCCTCTCTGGGCCGACTTGGGGCCCTCTTGGGGTGCTCCAGGGCCGTCTTAGAGGCCATCTTGGGCGTCTTGGAGGCCTCTTGTGTCGTCTTTGTGCCCTCTTGGGGCCGTCTTGGGGGCCTCTTGGGCAGTCCTGAGGCCATCTTGGAGGCCTCTTGGGCGCTGTGGGGGCGATCTTGGGGGCCTCTTGGGCCGTCTTGGGTCGTCGGAAAGCCGAAAAGGAGCAAATACGAAAAACCTTCAAGAACCTACGGAAAATCAATGAAGATCAATGATTTTGGCCTCTTCGGGCCCTCCTGGAGGACCTCTTGGAGGCCTCTTGCGCACCTCTTGGGCCGTCTTGGGCTGTCTTGGAGGTTTCTTGGGCGGACTTGGAGGCGCATCCTCCTCTCTTGGGCGAACTTGGAGGCCATCTTGGACCATCTTGGAGGCCATCTTGGGCCAACGTGGCCATCTTGGAGGCCACCTTCAGCCGTCTTGGAGGAAAAGTTTGGGAAATCCTGCTCCGTGGCAATTCTCCCGGGACTCCGGCGGGACGCGCCAGAGCCCCAGGGGGAGGGAGTTCTTTTGGAAAAAGAATCAAAACCCAAACCGAGAGGGTCTAGCACGCCAGGCACCCCTGCGATGAATCGACTGGGGGCGGCGGATCGAAGACGCCTACGGCGATCACCGCCGCACCCTGCCTTTTTGGGAGCGCCTATGTGGCCGAAAGTTGAGGCCAGACCTGCCAAGCTATCGGACTATGTGTTCCCCGAATCGGTTTGGAAAGCCTTCGGGGAAAACTTGGGCATCTTGAAGGTCATCTTGGCCGTCTGGAGGCCATTTTGACCCTTTCGGGCCTTCTTAGAGGACGTCTTGTTGTTGGGCCGTCTTGGAGCCCTTTTGGGCCCTCTTGGACGCTGTGAACCTCCGAGCGTCGTCTATGCCAGAAACGTACGTTTTCCCATGGAACTGAGACGACTTTTGCTTGTTGGGGCCCTCTTGTTGTGGCCTGGGTCGCCGTGAGCCCCAGCAGTGGGTCTCGAGTTTTCTGTGAGGGTCTCTCGAGCGCCCCAGGCTGGCCGCCCCGAGTGTGTTGCCCAAAGGTCCGTGCGGGCGCACTGGACCACCCAGGGGGGAGGCAGCCCACTGGAATCTTCATCGTCCCTGAACGTGGTTCCTGGGGGTAGGAAGATTCCAGGCAGGCTACATCCCTTGTCGCCATGGCTGGATTCGCAGACTCGTCGCTCCAGGTCGGTCCTCCTTCCGCCCGTGTCCGAGGCGGGGTATCAAGTGTCGACATTCGCTGCCGAGGCAGTCTCGCTCTGAGGTTCCCCTCTCCTGTTGCTCGCAGGCGGCGTCTCTGTGGCGCCAGGGGTCCCAGGGCTCCCGTGGTGGTTCGCAGGGGTTCTCTGAGGGCCTCGTCGCTGTTGAGGTGGCGCCTCGGTGCCGCCCGTGGTGCCCCAGGAGGGTGCTTGGCAGGACATTGCGTCGTCTGCAGGCCGTGGGCTCGTTGCTGGCGTCGCCAGCGTCCCCGCCCTCCCTCCCTGGTGGGTCTGGTGCGCCGGCCAGCAGGGTCTCGAGTTTTCTGTGAGGGTCTCTCGAGCGCCCCAGGCTGGCCGCCCCGAGTGTGCTGCCCAAAGGTCCGTGGGGGCGCACTGGACCACCCAGGGGGGAGGCAGCCCACTGGAATCTTCTGGAGCTTCTCGGCGGCGTCTGGGGCCGTCTGGAGACCATCATGGGCGTCTTGGAGCAATCTTTCGGCGACTCGGGGCCCCTTGGACCGCCTTCTTGGGCATCGTCGGCCGATCTTACTCCAAGAGCCCTTGGACCGTCTGGGCGCTCTCTTGAGGCCGTCTCGGGCGCCTCTTGAGCCGTCCGGGGGGCATCCGGCATCTCTGGCGGGCACCTGCCAGGGACTTGCCGGGACCTTGGCGGGGTTTTTGTCGCGTCGGGGCCCCCAGGGGCCGCCTTGCGCGCGCGAACTTGTCATATTGTTAACTTGTTACCGGAGGTCTTAGCACGCCTCTGGCCCGTTGGGCCGGCGAAATGATCGTTCCTTCTGCGTCACTCCAAGGAAAGAAGAAGTTTCGTTCCTTATTTATCGTTCCTTAGGTCAGGCCGATTGCTGTAGCTTCGTGGGCGAAAAACATACACGCATCCGCGGCCTCGCGGGCCAGCCCCCTGGACCGCGACCCCGCAGACACGGGGCGCTTCTTCGCGCACGCCCCGCGTGGAGCGCATTCGATCGGGCGACCGCGCACCCGCGGGACCGCGCCCGGATGCGGATGCGGATCTGCTCGCCGCTCGTGCCAGCTCTCCACTCGCCCAGGCCCCGGCGCCGGTGGCGCTGCCCGGGGGCGCCGTGCCCGGCGGCGGCACCGCCCCGGCGCCCGCGCCCGCGGCGGCGTGGCCGCCGCCGGCGCAGCTGCGGGTCCCGGCCAGCCGCGTGGTGAGGCTCGGGGCGCCCAGCCCGCGGCGGCGGGCCCCGAGCCCGAGGACGCGAGCAGGGGATCGACTGCAGCAGTGGCGTGCCCCGAGTCTGGCTTTCTCTCGCCGGGCCCAGGAAGGAGGTCGCAGAGCAGCCGGGAGACCTGCGGAGAATTCCGCGGATGCTTCGTAGATTCGACGGGATTGGCGTAGCCCGAGTTTCGCTTT